GTTCATTAGTATACAAGCATGTGACATTTTAGGCGTAAGCCCTCCATCAGACATGAAACAAATGCATAGGTGCCTTTGCTACAGGTACCTGTCTAAAGAGGTCACCTGACAGGTCATGTGATTACAAAATGGTCGACCAAAAAGAAAAAGCAATAGAGTAAAGTATAATAAATTTGTACAATAAACCTTGTTAAATATAATTCAAATTGTTCTAAAGCACCTAAATATACCAAAGCAGAATCATCAGTTAAATAAAATGTCATACGTACATCCAATCCAATCCAACTATTTGTTAAGCACTTTAAAACAACCAAAGTTGACCAAAGTGCTGTACAGGAGAATAAATAAGACATCATAAATGTAAACAGTGATGGTGATGATGAAGACCACTGTGAGGAATATAAAACAGTGATGGCGATAACACTGGAAAGTTCCCGTGAATTTAATGAAATAATAACTTTATGCAGTCCAAGTTGAGAGACAACAACAAAACAAGAGACGGCAAACTCTGAATATATCCTTGATTTATGGATGGTAATGTTTCACTTTGGCACACCCAAGGCTCAGTCCTCCCACTGCCATTGTCCGGCCTTTGATCCATGTTGGTAACTTTACCCTGACACAAACACCGCTGACATGTGGGCTCGTCGCCTGCAGTTAGGCAGACCCTCCCCAAGCTGGAGCTCAGCTTTAATAAACAGCTGGGGTCTTTCACTTGTTTATTGCAATGGGAGGTTTGAGTTTCACAGCCCTGGCCAGTGGCCGCAGGGCTGGCGGCATGCCACCGGCCCAATGTCCTTTCTCCTATTGTGTGCCAGTAAGTAAGGGCTGCTTGGCACAGCTGTACCACTGCTATTCTTAACACTTGATAAAAGTCCATTTGGGCTTCTGGCTCTTTCGTCAGCTGGGGACTACCAGGGGGATTATAAAGTGGTTTGTGTGGTAAATATGTTTGGTGTTCACAGGCAGACAAGATGAGTGGATAATATTTTTATCTAAGTGTTACCATGTTTCCTTTACAGTTTGATGAAGGACGCAATACCTTTGATGGAGAGCTGACCAAAGAAAAACTCCTGGCTTTTATCAAGGCCAACCAGCTGCCTCTGGTCATCGAGTTCACTGAGCAGGTAATGACTGGGACCGCGCACATCAACGTGACCATCGTGTCCACACTGTCTACAACAGTAAACCAAACATGTCCAAGTGTGATCCCCACATGTCAAACTTATATGTTTCTGTTTTCTGCAGACTGCCCCTAAAATCTTCGGTGGAGACATCAAGTCCCACATCCTCATGTTTCTGCCCAAAGCTTCATCAGACTTCCAGGCCAAAATGGACCAGTTTAAGAAAGCCGCAGAGGGATTCAAGGGTCAGGTAGGTGAACAGTCTGAAAACACCTTCCAGTCTTTCAGAATGCACTCTGTCTTTAACCTGTCAAATGTCATTGACGCACTTTCTGTGTACAAGACTTTACTCAGGCTGGATATTTATGAATGACAAAATCAAATATTGAACTCTTCCGTCTCCCCTGTCCAGATCCTGTTTATTTTCATCGACAGCGACGTGGACGACAACCAGCGCATCCTGGAGTTCTTTGGCCTGAAGAAAGAGGAGTGCCCCGCCATCCGCCTCATCACCCTGGAGGACGAGATGACCAAATACAAACCAGAGAGCGACGCCATCACAGCAGAGAGCATCACTGCATTCTGCACGCTGTTCACTGAGGGCAAACTCAAGGTGAGGGAGAGAGGAGTGGTTGGTTATGTTATAGATATACTTACACATTCATGAATAAGGTTTGATTTAATGCTGGAAGTCTTATAATAGTAAGGACAATTATACACACGAAGTAGTGCTGAGTTTCTTTGGATGACCTCAAGCAATGAATCCTTCATCATTTTAATGGTTTTTCTATTGATCTGACTAATGTGCTGTAAATACTGTTGACAAAGCAGGACCATGAGTTTAACACGTAATTAAAGCATTGGGTATTTTAATGCATTAATATGACTCATTTTCTATTTTCACTCTCTCAGCCCCACCTCATGAGTCAGGACATCCCTGAAGACTGGGACAAAACCCCTGTCAAAGTTTTGGTTGGCAAAAACTTCGAGGAGGTCGTCTTCGATTCCTCCAAGAATGTCTTTGTGGAATTCTGTAAGAGCCTCCTCTTGTCTGCAGTGTTTTAACACCATTGAAACACATTCACGAATCATCTTTTTTGAGGAGATTCACCTGTTTTTAAAGTGGTATTTTCTTGCAGTTGAAGCTCAGTTGTTTATAGATGAGAGAGTTGGCAAAGCCTCTAGTGTCAACTGTAATCTTGCCCTTCCTTACTTGCCTGTGCCAAGCAGTTTCCAAATACCTAAGAGTTGATACTAGGGGGTCACTCAGCCCACTCTCTGCAAATTAAGTTGTTACCAGACACTTAGAAAGTATATATATATATATATATATAATATGCTAAGGGGTTATTTTTATAGTGATCCACATTCAAATTTGCACTATTTTTGGATGAATTTTCCATTGCTGACTGTAATATACAGCTTATGGCCTGTGATGCACAGCAGGGTAGGCCTGTATTTCCTGACTGGGGGGTTCCCAGCCAGTCAAAGGGGAACAAGGCCATGAAGCGGAGGCTGCATGTGACATGTTCAGTGCGTGTGTTTGCCTGCTTCCAGCTATACATTGCATTAGGTTGTACCCATCTCAGATCAAACACCAAACCCACACAACCTAGTGCCCCAGTTAATGAAAACACGACACGATAAGTGTGTTCAGTGGTCAGTATCACAATGAGCTTAAAGCAAATCCAGGTGTACTTTTGTTTCTAATTTCTGCTTTGTGTGTGTGGTTTTCCAGATGCACCTTGGTGTGGACACTGTAAACAGCTGACTCCCATCTGGGAGAAGCTGGGAGAGAAGTATAAGGACAGTGCTGACATCATTGTGGCTAAGATGGACTCCACAGCCAACGAGATTGAGGCAGTCAAAGTCCACAGCTTCCCGACTCTTAAGTTCTTCCCTGCAGGAGACGAGCGCAAGGTGAGTTGAGGAGGTGTTACATTTGATCTAAGAGAGATTAAACATTTGTTAGGTGTCATCTCTCTTAATTTGAGCATCTTCTGTAAACATTTCCATTTGTGTTGACTGATACATGATCCTTCCATCCTTCCTTCCTTTCTCCATCCTTAATTATTGGGTTCGCCCTCTTATGCATTACATGCCTTTTGCAGTTGTGAGTTACAGTGATCTGGGTGGTTATTTGGATCCAGCATCATTGCCAGACAGGCCTCGCTCCCATTAGTGCCTCTTGATTTAGCAGTGTTAACCATGTGCAGAAACCTGAGCTTGCTGGCCTTGCTGGTTTCTGCACCATTACATTGGTGTTTGGTTCTTATAGATTCCTGCTCCATGACTTCACTCGCATAGGGACTCTGTGCTCAGCCTGCACCTGCCTCTTCATAGCTCTCCTTTATTGACCAGGCCTTCACGTGCCAGCTTTCAGTTTAGCAATCTTAAATGAGTGCTATATACTGGGGCCACCCCATAGTAAGTCTTAAGGATTAGCCTGTGACCCTACTTAGAGGAAGCATGCAGAAGACCCAGGAGAAGGCTAGTGCTGGTGCTGGAGCTACAGTGGCAGGCATGAGGGGCTGTGTAGGTCAGTAGGGTTATGAAATAACCGATTAAATAACTAAAAACTAAATTGGTTGGTCCAGATGTCCTTCGAGTATCCTTTTCATGTGCAGCCTTATTTTAGTAATCATCCCACTGGCTTGTTGCTGTGTCACTGCTCATAGGTCTCGACAACTTACTGGCAACATATGGAGACAGATTGCCAAAGTTTACTGGCTGCTTTTAAATGACATAGTGAAGGGTCAAAGGCTCAGTGATATTTTCATTTTCATTTAAATGCAGTCATGCTTGGATTCTATAGACATTTCTTGGGTTCGTGGAGATGAGTAGTTCTGTACGATATAGTAAAAAAAAAAAAATCCTATTGCAACTATTTTAACAGATTATGCAATTATAATATGATACATAATTAGTGTGAATGATAACTTTTGCTTCACAGTTTAGATTTTTCTCTGAAAAACATGATCAAAATTATGATAATGTGACATTTGTTGGAGTGTGTACCAAACAAACAAGATTTGTAGGCCAGAGCACCTCTGCAACACTACACTACTTCATTATAATGCTTTTTTGACACATTTGACCTTTTATCAAAAATGGGCAGCTTCTGTGATTTTGATATTGCACTGGGCCATATTGTTATTTTAATAAATGTTTTGATCAATTGTGCTGCCCTAGAGATAAGACAATTTTGTAAGTTAAAATAATAATCAAAAATAATATCTGAAAAACAGGTGATTGATTACAATGGGGAGAGAACACTGGAAGGTTTCACCAAGTTCCTGGAGAGCGGCGGTAAGGAGGGCGGTGCCCCTGCAGCAGACGACGAGGACGACCTGGACACAGACGTAAGTAATCTCAATCTCAATCTCAATTTTAGACCTTAAAATGTCGTAAATATGATTTTTAAAGGTCTTTAAAAATTGATTAATTAGGTAGCCAAACTGACGTGGAACCCACTCTTTCTCACTTTTTTTGCCAGTATGTACGTAAAATATTCATAAAATAAATTACATTCATAATGGCCTTAAAAAGGTCTTAAATGTACCGTTGAAACCCTGGAGATGCATTTACACATTTTATAGGAAGCAGTGCTTTTACAGCATGGCTGTAGCCTCATGAGAAGAAGCTGTGGTCAATAGTGAAAACAGTGGTCTGTCCCTTTTTTGTTTTTGTAAAAACAAAACAGTTGCACACAAATATCTGAATTGTTCACTAAACGCCTTCAGGCTATCTGAGCTTTGATGAATGTATCAAGACTTTAATCTGTTCATCTTGATGTAATGGCTCTCCTTATATTTTAGCAGACCACATAAAAGAATCTTGTGTGCTCACACAGAAATCTAACTTTGTATGCAGTCCTCTGTTGGACTGTGTTAAGACCAGGTGTGTGTATTTAGTATAGCGTTGTTCTGTTTGTGTACCAGTACCCACCCACATATTCATATTGAAGAGGTAGTCATAAATGAGGGAAATGGCAGTGACTAAAACAAGAGCAACAGCTGCTGCAGTGTGAGGATTTAGAGGCTGACTGTTCTCATCTTTTTTTTTTTTTTTTTCCTAGAGTTCCATGAATAATTTGTTTAGAAGGAATCTGTGAAATTCTTTCTCAAACTGTTATTCTTTATTTGAAACAACTTTAAGTGTAACATTTTGAGCCAGAACATGCGCCTGTAGTGTATTGGAGAAACCTCCCCATATCATTGTCAATAACCTGTGTATTATTCCTTTTAATATGATTTGAATATAATGTTATTGGAGTGGAGTCTTCATATGTGAAAGACATCAGATTCATGTGTATGCACACTTCTCTCATCGAAACCGCTTTTGTAGGCATATTTGGTGTCATGTCTGTACCCGAAATAGGTTTACGGGACCAACTCCTGTGAGGATTTTAGGCCTTTGTGACCTTAGATCTGACCCCCATGGCTTTGTTGTATGAAAGTAATATTAGTATGAAAGTAATATTACACCTTTCCCAAACTTAACCCAGGTGCAACATGTTAAAATGGACAATAAGCAAAGCTAGCACTTCTGTTGGTGAAAACAATATCGATGAGAAACCCACCACCACAACCTGGTTAAAGATGCAGAGGATGCATGTTGAGCTTTGACCAGCTCTCCCAACACATTCCTGTGTGTTACAACTCTGCTGCACCCAGCACACATTAGGAAGGACCCTCTTTACTAGCACCTTTCCACTCTACTATTTGCCACCACGCCCCCCTTCTCAGAAGTCTAATTGCAGCCCAGCTGAATGCTGTCCGCTTAAGCCGTCTGCAGCTGTCGGAGCTGTTTACTGGGCTTTGCCTGGAACCTCCAGATGAAAGTGGCACGTGCAGCGTTCAGCCAGTGCAGTCAACATTAGGGCCTTCTGACACATCTCCTCACCCAACCCCATCTCCTCACCCCACCTATCCTCAGACTAGACGTGAAGGAATGGCTGTGCAAAACGAAGATGTCCTCTAAATGCAGAGCAGTGTTGTTCACACATTCTGCAGAGTGACGAATGGTTCCATTTGTTCAGACTGTGGCTTGCAGGTCCAGTTTAGCGCACATTTACCACAAACTAGTGTTGCATGCTTGTCTGATTCTGTGTTAACCAACCACCATCTCCTCTGCTCTACAGGATTTGGATGATGTGGACGAAGGACAGGACGATGACTCTGATGGTGAGGGCGACGACGGACATGACGAGTTGTAAGAGCTGGCAGAGGAGAGAGAGAGAGAGAGAGAGGAGACGAGTCCCACCCCAACCCTTCCAACCAGTCACCATCACCACCTTCACTTCCTTGTGGACCTTCCCTGTCCTGTGAACATTAATACTTCCCCTTTAACTGCCTCTCAGTCAGTCAGTCAGTCAGTCAGCTGGCCTGCTAGTCAGTCAGTCCATCAGTGGCGCGGCAGGGCCTTTTTTGCCAGCCACACATCCAACCTCGCAACTTCTGGCCAGACTGGTCTTGTCCCACCTGGGGGGACTCTGTGGAACAGCGCACCACCTCTACGGGAGACCTGAATGCCTTCTTTACAAAGCTCCACATCAGCTGTTTGCCTTGTATATTTTAAACCAAATGTAAAAATGGCATTGAGATCCAGTTTTCAAAATGTTTGTGTTCCCCTGATGAATTAGCTCCCCTCCTCCTTAAAAAAAAAAAAAGCCTTGCCATTGTTCAGTGTGGGTATGAGCTAAATGAGTGTTGTGACCTGTATTTGTAGGTAAGGGGGGGCTGCCAATGTTCTTTACCCTCTGATAGAAATCCAGAGGAACAGAGTTTTGTGTGGTGGTTTTGTAAGGACTGATCTCTCAGGGGACATGGGGCCATCGTATACATGTTTATTTTGCAATGTCTTCACTAAAATAAACCCCACAAAGCTTGTCCACTCCAGTGTAGCACAAAGAGCCCCCCTCCCATCTGTAGCTGAGACCAATTCTTTTCTTTCTTTTGGTAGGGGGGGAAGTCTACTTTGTTTTCATTTCTTCATTCCCAAATAATTTTTAAGTTCAGTCTCCTCATTTAAGCGCGGCTACTGACTATTTTCTAAAAGGAACAAAGGTTAACTTTTTGGGGGGGGAAATCCTATTTTATTTAATTGCTTTCAGTATACGGTTTTTTTGTTTTTTAACTTAGGACTTGTCATTTTTAATGATGTACCATTGTGCCCAGTTGTAGCCAGTTGGCCCTGTTGGGGCAGAGTTGGCCCTTGGACACACTCTCAGACCTGGGATGGGTTTTTTCTTCTTCTTTTTTTTTGTTTGGAGCCAGTTCTGATAGGTCGCACTGCATTCATGCCTAATCAGAGATTCATTGTGGTTACTAAAGCAGACAGAGATTGGTACAGTCTACTTGGTCAGGTTGGTCTGAGAGAAGTGTCTATTATATCTAAAGCGGGGAGGGAACTGTTGCACAGCCCCAACCCTCACCCATACTGTACCTCCTGCATCCCTTTTGGCTCTACCCAACACCCTTGTTGCCACAGCGGTGTGTGTGTGTGTGCGTGCGTCTGCGTGTGTGTGTGTGCGCGCATGCTGTGTGAATGGTGTAAAAATTGCTGTGCGATGAGTTGTATGAAATGTTCATATTTTCTGGTCGTCCATGAACAGGAGAATGAATGTACTGTGTGTCTGGCAGGGAGGGGAGGCTTGAGTAGAGCAAGGTGATGGGTTTGACAGCTGTACAGCGGTGGGGGAAACTTAACAAAGCATTCCATCATATCCAAATTGATGTGGAAAACGTGAAATGGTGGCCAATAAACAAAAAATTACAAAACAATGTTTGTCTATAGTTTTGTTTTTTTGTTGAGTGCTCCTTCAGGTTGACCCTTGATGAGCCTTGGAAGGGAAAATGCCATTACACTTATTTTATCATTAATTGGGTTTATAGTGAGCGTGATAAACTAGACTTGCAAGCTGCACATGAGTTAATGGAAGAGGTATATTATGAGGTTGAGACAACCTAAACCACTGTCTCTGCAGAGATGACTAAGACAAAAGGAAGCAAGAATGTGTGCACTGTGATTCTGAAACAGTGTAGCTATAGTGATACTGAAGATCTAAGTTGGCTCAAAAACAATCATTTTTAATGTATAACATTTCAGGTATGCCCATTACAAGTTCCCAGAGCCCAAAGTGACTTCTTCAAATTGCTTGTTTTATTAAACAAAACCCGGTCCTCTCCTATGGAGTGTGCTGTGTTGAACTGCCATGTTTCTATAGTAGCCCAGAATGGACAAACCAAAACTGGCTCTAGACTGGACCTTTAGCATTTCATGGTTGAACTGATTCAAACTTCTACTTACTGCTGCTAGCTGCTAGGGCAGCTGTAGACTCTTGTTGCAGTCTACATTCAGGGCTGTAGCCAGGAATTTAGAAATTCTGAGGTCATGAGACCAAGTCCCCCCCCCAGTGCAACCCTATTCCCCTCAGAACATTTTCACCAAAAATAAAGTCTCTAAAAAGTTACTAACATTATTTGGATTTTTCATATTTTGTTTATTCACTGACTGCCCCACACTACCAGAAGTAAAATCAGAGTGAAGAAACACTTAATACCTAATTTACCTAATGGCTTAAAAGTTGTAGCAGCCAGTTTTTTTTTCCTGTCAGTATAAGATTACAGATTTCTCCTGTTTGACATGACAATCTAATCACTACGACTAACAAAAATGTACAGTCAATTCCCCAACTTTCCCATAAATATAAAATAAGCAACAAACAAACAACAAAAAAAACAAACAACAAAAGCAAAAGCAAAGTCACAGAGGATGAGGCAAAGCATTCAGTCATTTGGAAATGATCATCACACATCCTGCATCTCACATCAGCGATTAAGATAGAGTATGACTCTGAAGACAGCAGCCTTTTTCGTCTGTTTATGTCAGTGCAGTTAATAGTCAACAGCCTACACATGGCACTTCACCTCTCCATGCCCCGCAGTTGGCATCGACGCACTCCAGCAATAAACCACTTTTATCCTGCATGGTGTTTACTAGAAACTTCTAGCCCCCCCCCTCTCATCTCTTGGGATGTCACTGCTATCTTTAAGACAGAAGCATCTGGGTATGTGTGGGTGACAACAGAGGCAGAGGTTACTGGCTGTCATGTCTGGAGATGTATCAGAGGCTTGTGACAGGCCAGTGGGAGGGATCCAACCAGAAGGGCAACTCATCTTCCAAATCTCGCCACTGTATCTGTGAGGTGTTGCGCCCTAAAATAGCCTGACAGAGAGTATAAAGAGGGCCACAGGGAGGCTTGGTCTTCAGAGGAATAGAGCCACTGGAGAGCAAGAGAGCCACACTAAGAGACACTGCTGGATCTTTCTACAAAAACAAAGACTTAAGGAAAAACAGTCCTAACTTTTTTGTGAAGGTGTTGCTGGATTTGAAAATTTTTTTCTGCAAGAGCTCAGGAAAAATCTACTAGACCAGGATGAAGTACTACCAGTGCCCCGTGTCCCAGACCATGGGAATCGACGCTTACCCCCAGGACTGTGGCGTCCCAGTCAGCTGCAAGAACTCTGCCTCTCTGAAGAAGATCCGCAATGTGCACTTTCCCAACGACATCGTTTTCCAGGACTACGTACGACATGGCGAGCTGGAGAGGATTGGACTTTTCATCAGAGCCAAAAAAGTCAACCTGGACACCATCTACCACTCTGGTGAGAGCCCATGAAACTTCTACATCACCCTGATCGAGGCTTCAGTGGTTGAAAAGTCTTTCTTATTAAACCCCAGACATTATTCTGTGCTGCACTGATAGTTATTTCTCACTGCGCTCTCTATGTAGGCATGGCTGCCATCCATGAAGCTGTCCTTTCTGGGAACCTGGAGTGTGTAAAGCTGCTGGTCCACTATGGAGCAGATATACACCAGAGGGACGAGGAGGGCTGGACCCCACTGCACATGGCCTGCAGCGACGGCTTCCCACACATTGCACGGTGAGCATCTACTCTTTCTATTGTATTACACCAACTAGAGCAGTCACCAGACAATCAAACTGTGTAACTTCTGCTGAACTGTTAACCTGATAAATGCTAAAACAGACAGAAAAGGGCTGTAGAAGTAAAACCCTGAAGGTGCCACTGGGTGATGACACTTTTAATTTCTCTCAAAATGTAGCCAGTAGGAGGGCAGCTGGCATTACATGTTTACACATACCACGCGCATACCAACACGCACACACACACGTACACACACATTGGCTTCACAGCTTTCCTACACCACAGAGGTAAGAGAAGCTGGAGGATCTGCTGCATTCTTACACCTCATTGACCTAACTGACACTGAAGTATGGCACAGACCCGCATTGAGTTTACCAAAGTGACAGAGCTGAGAGATTTGACCTCTTTTAGTGAGCGGTGTTGTCTTGTGTTTCTTTCAGCTTCCTTCTCTCGCTGGGTGCCGACCCCGAGCTGGAGAACGACTGCGGGGAGAAGCCAGCAGACCTCATTGAGCCAGACAACAAGGAGCTGCTGGAGCTCTTTGGGCTGGCAGTCAACGACTGAGAACATCTGGCTTCTTAAAGCCACACGTCTACTGCCCAGTCACCTGACTGTTCTGCAGGGATGGACAAAAAAGGCCACGTCGGTTCAGCATCCTGATTTTGTGAGCTTCCTCAGCTCTGGAGGTCAAGGACTGCGGATGTGTGTTGGAGGGAGGAAGGGCTGACAGAGCCCGGTGGCTGCCTCCTGAATTGGGGGTGAACTCGTGCTGGTGGGGGCTGGCCTCTACGCTGTCAGAGCTTCAGATCTTTGTACACTGTAGTGAAGTGAATGAGCCATTTGATTTGAAGTTGTTGATTTTATTTTTGGCGTATCTCTGGGATTAGGAGGGCTTCTGAATGTTGTGAAACTTGAAACTAATGTTGCCACTCAACTCATTAGTGCCTGTCTGAAAGCTAAGATTAGCAAAGCCAAACAGGCTTGTGTTGACTGCCTTACTAGCAAATGTTTGCAATTTTTATTCTTGCCTTTTGACAAGTTTTTGACTTTTCATTACTTATTGTTTGTATGAGTTTTTATACTTTTTGAAATAAAGTTTATCAGAAAATAGCTTTCATTTTATCTGCTATTTCCTTTATCCCTTTATGATGTGTTGGTTTCAACAAGTTGTTCTCCATACTGCATACAGCTCTCTAAAGCAAAACTTTGATTCAAAATTCCTAGCATCGAATCCCTGCTGTTCAATTGGGCCAGCTATGTTAAGAGATAGAGAAGAAATGAACAACTTAAAACTGCACAAGCCAACATTTCTTTTCAACAAAGTGTATGTGTATTCTGAAATTGGGAACTTTCAAAGTTAAACCCACAAAGAAATATCACCCAAATTTGAAAGAAGAGGATTTGACTCTGATGTAACTACATAAGAGCCTCTTGAGGCTCATTACTGGAAACACAAAACAACCTGGTTAATCTCATCAAGAGGGATTACAGTCAGAATCAGTCAGCCTCACTCTGAAATCTGGGTCATATGCTTAAAAAACACTCAACCACACCACTGGTGCAAAGCAAGCAGCATCCCGTTTTAGGTTTTTTTAATCACATACCAGATCTGTCAGCAGAATATAACAGGTTGTTCCATCAGATGGAGAAATACAATAACACTTATTTACAGCTGTATAAAAATAAAACCCATCAGCAGGCGTCTGTGAGTGTCTGCAGGCGTACAGCAGCGCCGCCGCCACCGCCGCAGCCGCCGCCACCACACGTTCACTCCTTGAACTTCCACTCCTGTCGGCACATGGGGCACTGCTGCTGGACCTGCTGCGAGTTCAGCCATTTCAGGATGCAGTGCATGTGGAAACAATGAGAGCACTGACCCCAGACCAGCGGGCAGTCATCCCCAGGCACTTTACCTGCAAAATCATTTTTTAGATTCGTATTACAACTCATTATCTCTTACTAACACACATGCACTCAGTCTCTTACTGTCAGAGGTCATGAGAAAAGAGTTAATAACATTAATAACTAAATATAAATGACAATTGAGGACATACACTGTGTATTATGCCTTCATTACTGCATCATTACAGTTTCACTGTTACACTTTATGTACTAAATGTAATGAATATGAAACTGTTTATTATATATGAAAATACCAGCTATAAAAGGATTTCAGAGGAGTGTAATGAAATTTACATCACTTTTTATTATTATTATTATTATTAGTGCATCATTACATGTTCTCATTTATATTTACTGAGTAGTTTTCCAACTGACTGTAACTAGCTTTACAAAGACGTAGATTTATTTTGACTCTAAAGACCTGCCTCAAGTGTGCACGTATAGACCGATAAGTTAAAGACCTGTCACGTAAAAACTAAGTGTTGGAGTTGCTCTATGTTATGAATGCTTTTGCTCAGTTTTAAAAAAAAAAAAGTGATGCAAAAAGCCAAAATTCTTTCCTCGCATGCAAAACACTAAATCAAACGCTCGGTGCTGAGGATACAGCGAAACATTTCCCTCTTTTTTAAAAACGTAACTCTAGTCAGCAGCACTGCATGGCTAACTACGAGGTTTCTACAAGTGTAGTTTGGCTCTTTGCGTTGTTGCATTTCAGTTAGGTTAGGGATACACATGAAGTCATACAGACTGACAGTAAC